TTACGGATGCCGGGTAGATGAGGTGACAGATGGAACGGAGAAAAACGGATGCCAAGTGATAACATGACACATTATGCGGGAATTAAGAACGCCATACGCAACTTGACATTGTCAAGTTGTAGTGCATTTGAGGCTGCATGTCGTAGTGTGGACAGAAAATAATAATCAACACTGAATATATTTTACATTAACTGCTACAACTCTTGCACTAAGTTCACAGTGACATCTACTAACTTACATAATGTAAATAAAGCTGCATTATCTCTACTGAATGCCTTTTTAGTGCTTATTTTTCCCTTACATTTTGTATTCCGCTTTTATATTCTTATTCGATTCATAAATGATTGACATCTCTTTCAAAGCGGTTTTTTATCGTCTAAATGACACGAAACATCACCGAGCTTGTTCATCAGCGTCTAATCTCATGCCGCAAATTATGTTATATCAGCATTATATATTGAAAGTCTCCGTCATCTATCAAGGTTTTCTGGGTAGATCACTTTCTTTTATAAACGAGGATGTCATAGACACTACTGAGTAGGATAAATAAGTGACAATGTGGGTGTATCTTATTACTTGCTTCGGGCTTGAGTAAGAACTAATAACGACGATACGAAATATAGTATTAGCTTTATGCAGACCGTTCGGTAAAGCCATAAACTAGAGCCTGATACGTTAGGTTGTATCGATTATTTATGTAGTGAGTGCATAAGCCTGTCTAACATACCCTATGTACGTGTGGTAATTACAACTTAATATGTAGCATGTATGCGTAACTAGCTCGCTTAAAAACTCGCAATGGTATAGGAATTAAATAATGACAAAGGCATAGTATTTTTTATTCATTGACAAATTTATCAGACATATGGTTCCTTTGACATGTTCCACTGATATATTCCTTCATTCTTCGATCGATTATTTTCAAGCAAAAATATAGAGTTGAATCTCGTTTTCGTGTGGTATCATAGAAAGTCGACCTAAAGCCTTTTCCTGTAACTTGGCTACTTTGTTCGCAAACGATTCGTATATATTATTTTTTCACGCGGTAGATGCATCAATTTTGAGCGATGGTCCCGACATTGCCAATTTTTATCAGCAGGACATTTGTATTATCATGTCAGTTGCTATTTTGTATAGTAAGGCGCGTTAGCTGATTGCGATTTTGACGTACTTCACTATTATTCGGATAAAAGAAACATCTAGTGATGTGTGCAGGTGCTTGCGGTCAAAAGCGTGACACAAAGAGCACTAGGCATGTGAAATTTTTCATGGTCATAACATACATTTTCCGGAATTGAATTGATTTCTTCAAGCTGAAAAATATCGGTTACAAGATTATAAAATGGAATTCTACTACTATCTTTAGTGCAAGAATTAGTTTAGTCGAAACACGATTCATGATGTCGAAACAACATTGTAAACAACGTCAGCATAGTGGTTTTTGCATTAGTAGTGTTGTTGTATTGTTTCATTAGTGGCTTGGGACCGAGCGACTATATGATGAGTAATTGTGGGTGAATTAGCTGCGCCAAATAAGCCAGTAATATACCCTCTTGTAGAGAACATCGACGACGGCCAACTAGACGAGTATTTATTGTCGTAGACATCATTATTAATGGGACAATGGCCGACTAGTTTTGAAATCAAGAATTTAAATGACTGGCTTAGCGCAACAGAATAGATTTAGAGATAGAAAACCTTATACATAGACAATTGCACTACTATTGTTGGCTCTTCATACGCTTCCACATGGTACCAAGAATCATGTCCTTCATTACAGGTTTCGGAATCGGTATTACCATCGGCAATATCAAGTAAAACAATGTAATGGCTTATAGCCGTGATATGCGAAGCATAAATAATACGGTCAAAGTGAAACGCAGACACCGACCTTCGCAAACCTTACTGATGAGTGACTACATTAAGAAATCAATATGACGTCTGTTTTTAATTCTTATATAGATAGAAGGTTTGAGGCATATTTGAGTTTGCGTATCACCCACTATATCCGACTCCCGGTGGTGTGCAATCGTACCGCCCCTCCAGCGGGTATCAATACACGTACCTGCCTGTCCCGGGGTCAGTGCCTTTCCACTCGGCCACCGGGGTCGCTAATTCCGGTGCCAGTGCCTGCATACCCCCCCCCCACGATGGTCGCTAATAAAAATGAGAAGAACCCGGACTGGCGTCACCACATCGCCAGGAAATCCTTTTGATATCGCAACACACGATACTACTACATATTTGTCAACGTTATCGGTGCTTATTCATGTGTTCGCTCGCATGTGTACTTTTGGGGGGTCCACATCAGTGATGCTTTTTTGTATTGACTAAACGACACATTTATCTCATTTTGCAGTGCGTCGATTTTGTTTTTGTTTTTTTGGCCCGTTTTTCTTCACCGTTTGATGCCCACTCTTTGAGTCGGGCAATTGGAATGAGAACAATTTAAATCCTGTACCCTTGATATCATGTTCACTTAGTAACAAGCCCGCGACATTCAACATAATGGAAATATATAACTCTGTTAAATAAGAATGAAAATACGATAATTGAGCTGTGAAAATCTACGTCAAATAGCCAGTAAAAATCGCCCAAATATGGCAATATGCAACAGCGGTGTTTGATGTACGTTTCAACATGTTTAAACACATCTATGCTTACCTAAGAACGACCTGGGGAAAAGGATGCTGCTGCTTGTTTTGATGCAGATACCGTGTATTCTCGATGAAAAATAGGAGTCGAATCAACACGGTATTGTGAGCGAGATGTGAGCAAGACAAATACAGGATGTATCGATTTACACGAACAAAATGCTCATAAATTGTGTCGACTACACCTAATAGCGTATATACAAACCGCATCCATCGTCTTATTTCCCGTACATTTTGTAATAGGTATCACCATACCAAAAATCAACAATTAGCGGTTTCTTGTCAAAAGATCGGATCGCCTTATTAGTGTGTGCACTTTTCATCGTCAAATTACACCTACAACATTAGGAGTAAGCATCTCGGGTCATAATAATTGATTAGGCTGTTTTACAGTTCGCAGCTGTTTGCTGTGGACGCTCTTCGCCGTCACTCACTTTCAATAGCACGGTTGACGCTCATTGCGTCAACAGTACTTTGCCGTCTTTCGTATTACTCGTGATACAAGCAAAGGCCTAAACTCACTATCACTCGGACGCGATACTAAGTGTGTTGTGAACTCTGCAGTTCAAAAACAAAATTAAAGACATTACGAACCAGTCAGTAACGACACATTTTACCAGAACGCAGATCGAATCCTCAAGGTATTTTAGATGTAGTCAATGACAATTGTGCATCTATTTCCATGTATGTTTGTATGAAGTCGATTTCTTACATGACAAAGTCAGTTTTGTCGTGTTGCTAGATATAAAAAGGTCTACGTCCGGCATGGTAATCTTGGTAATTAAAATGTCAACAAATATTTGCGTGAGCACCAGCAATAGCACCTACACATATTTGGTAGTTCTCCATCAAGAATGTCTGCACTTGTTGCTTGTATGTACGTCATGTCAAACTCATTGGGTGGTGGCTTTAACATCCAGTACAGCACTGTGTGCGCGCCATGTAGAGACTGCGCTACCTCATCAGATTCATTCTAGACGTTACAATCAGGTAGACATCTACATATGAACACATACGCACATCATATAAATATGGTGAAAGGGCGTGAAAGGGCGTGAAAGGGCGTGAAGGGCGTGGAAGGGGTAGAAGCGACGTGGCCGAAACAATGAATGACACGGCAATGTAAGACTACTTTGTAGCGTCAATGGACTCCCTTCTTCGTGTGATGTTAGTGGTGACTAGGAAACCAAAGGGGTATTACGATAATAAATTGGTAGAGGGATTAATGACATACGTACAGACAGGTATATGCATGGATGTAGGTAGTGTATAATTTGATGTGTTGTATACACTGCTGGTGCATTTATGTTTTTCTGATTCGATGGCGCTTATCTTTTTCGTGTTTATCTGACAGATTTACATTGTTTCTTAATGATTTGGTGTGATTTTGTACAGCTCAAATATTCAATTCACTTGTTAACGGGCCCGCAATATGTGAGAATACCCAGCGCGGGCAACCCTAAACCTGTAGATGTATAAGTTGCAGCAATTCGAATGCAATTTTCGACTACCCCCAATTTCGAATAGCCTTACGGACACCCCGACAAAAAGAACTTGACGCTGTTCAAATAATTGAGCACTCACTATCCTGTACCGACACGCCACGACAGCGCTTCCGACGACCATACCCACCTATCTGATTGCAGTGGTGGACGGTGCGTGCAGCATTTGTGTTGGCGCTCGCTGGCCTAGAGGCACAAAAAGAAGCGTCGTTTCCAATCTTTCCAGAAGGCGGCCATAAACAGCCGAGTGGCTGCGGGATTGTGGCTGACCGGGCTACCTTGCGTTTCTGTCCCACCCGACCAGCTCGTCCTATTATTTGGTCTTCTGCCCTCGACCTCCTTGCGTGTCATCGATGTACACAATGCCCATCTAAAAACCACTTGCCGAGGCGCATCCAATCAGTGCGCCGAACTGCCCAGACGGCGAACTCGATACAATGGGACGTGTGATCGCAACCAGTGGTTTCCTCCAATAGAAATCACCACTTCGACCAATCTGGTAGCCGATATCCCTTCATATCGCATTAGCAATACACCAAACAAGCGTCGGATCTGCTGGGACATAGATAGTCGTGCGTGGATTCACCCCTCTCTGGTAAGAAGCCTTACATCCCCCACACAGCCTCTGAGTCATTTTGAAATCCCCCAAGCGCCAGACATACGTCCGTCGACACCCGATCTCCCCACACCGTTTCAGTTCCTCAGGTGCGATTTGACGCTACGCTGATTCCTCGCCCCTTTCCCTTGTCGTCGACATGTATACGCACACGCACACGTATCGGTCTGCCGTTATTGAAAGGTCTCTAATCCATTATCGCGTCACTGTATCGCAGACACGAGCGCCATGATCAAGTCCATTGCTGCACGCTCTCGAAGCGCCACTGCTTCTACCGCCGTCCGCGCAATGTCTGCAGCGTCGACGTCGCTCCTGAGCGAACTCAAACACCAGATCCCCGTGCGTCAGGAGGCACTCAAGAAGCTCAAGGCCGAGCACGGCCACAAGTCGCTAGGCGAAGTCACAGTCGAGCAAACGCTTGGTGGTGCTCGTGGGATCAAGTCGCTTCTATGGGAAACGTCGCTACTTGACGCTGAAGAAGGTATCCGCTTCCGTGGCCACACGATCCCCGACCTCCAGAAGGTACTACCGACCCATGTCAAAGGCGGCGAACCCCTCCCCGAAGGCCTGCTCTGGCTCCTACTGACTGGGGAAGTCCCTACCGCCGCTCAAGCAGCCAGCGTCACTGCTGAGCTCCACGAGCGTGCCAAGGTGCCTGAGCACGTGACGAAGCTCATTCGTGACCTCAAACACGCGCACCCCATGACGCAGCTATCGGCTGCCGTCACAGCCATGAACACGGAAAGTGTGTTTGCGAAGAAGTATGCGGAAGGCATTCACAAGTCGACGTACTGGGAACACACGTACGAAGACAGCATGAACCTCATTGCGCGGCTGCCCGAGATCGCGGCCCTCATCTACCGTAATACGTACTACGGCGAGTCCAATCACGCGTATGACTCGAGTCTCGACTACTCGGCTAACTTTAACCGCATGTTGGGCTACGACAACGCCGAGTTTGACGAGCTCATGCGTCTGTACCTCGTGATCCACAGCGATCACGAGGGCGGCAATGCTAGTGCCCACGCGACGCACCTGGTTGGCTCGACGCTGTCGGACCCGTACCTCGCTCTGGCGGGCGGTCTCAATGCGCTGGCCGGTCCGTTGCACGGTCTGGCTAATCAGGAGGTATTGGGCTGGATTCTCGACCTCCAGGCCGAGTTCCACTCGAAGGGTCTCGAGGTAAACAAGGAGACAATCACCCAGTTCGCCTGGGACACGTTGAATGCTGGCAAGGTCATTCCGGGCTACGGCCACGCTGTGTTGCGCAAGACGGACCCGCGTTACACGTGTCAGCGCGAGTTTGGCCTCAAGTACATGCCCAAGGACGAGCTGTTCCGTATCGTGGACACCATTTACCAGGTCATGCCGGGTGTTTTGACCGAGCATGGCAAGACGAAGAACCCGTACCCGAACGTGGACTCGCACAGCGGAGTGTTGCTGCAATACTACGGCCTGACGCAGAAGAATTACTACACGGTGCTGTTCGGTGTGTCGCGTGCGATTGGCGTGCTTTCGCAGCTGTTCTGGGACCGCGCACTGGGCCTACCGCTCGAACGCCCCAAGTCGGTGACGAGTGAGTGGATCAACAACTACTTTGCCAACAAGAAGTAGACACGTCGAGAGATGTTCAGGGAGTGCGTAGGAGAGAAACCCGCTTGTGTATGGATCAACTTGTCCTGAGCTAAGTCATGACATGGTAGAAGTGCTAAGCAGTTGGAGCTGGTTATTTGAAATGCAGTAAGCAAGCGTTCGTGCTTTTGTTGGGAAGTTGTCACCTTGTCGTCATGAAAAAGGTTGAGCGAGTAATTCATAGAACATAGAAAGTATGCGGTCCAAATGTGATGAGGAGTGTACAGCTTTCGACACTAGAGCGTGTGGGCTAAAAGTAGTAGTAGTAGTTGTTGTTGTTGTTGTTGTAGTAGTAGTAGTAGTAGTAGTAGTAGTAGTAGTAGTAGTAGTAGTAGTAGTAGAGCGGCACCACTAAGGCTACTTTGCGTCTTTGCACCAATCGTATCATTTCGACACGCAAGTGCGTCCGTAATTCGGGAAGTGAGTGTCATCGTCGTGATGGAGCGCTGTCTGGAAGAGATCCATTCGACGGTCGAAGACGCGCGCGAGCCCATATCATACCGTACACTCAGCATCCGCTCACAAGCGTCCTGTAGCCTCAGTGTTGAGGCTCTCACCCGCTACTCTGCCGAGAACAGCAGCGTCAAAGCGTTGCACTTAGCTGTCAAGCGAGCAGTCCACCACACGCACTTAAAGAGTGAGACGGCGGCAGCTATGTGCGATCCGAGGGCGCGCGTGCTGTCACTGACCGTAAGCGATCAAGTCAAGACAAACGACGACGTGCTGTGCCATCACATTTACGCGGTCTACAACAAGTCAAAGGCCGTCGAAGGCGACGCAGACGAAGCAGCAGCCGTGGCGACGGTCTGTTGGGCACAAGAGCGTCAAACGCGCAATGGCGTGCTCGATACACTGACTAGAGACGCGCCGCTCTTATCTGCGGCTGCCAATGCTCTGTATGGAAGCGACATTCAATGTGCAGAAGCCACGACACGGCACGATTTCGGAGGTGACCAGGGGGAAGAGACGGTCTCAGTTTTTGACGCAAACAACGCGTCCGTAAAGCTGAACGCAATGTCTATCAAGCCGCTGCTGCCGCCGCCGCCGTCGTCGTTGTCATTTTTTGACAAAAGTAGCAGCAAGACGGGAGGTACTAGCAAGATTCGTAGTAAGTCACGGGAGGGCAAGACGCTTGATATGAGCAACGTGCTGACAGTCGACAGTGACAATGAAGACGACAAGGACGGCGACGACGACGACGAAGAGATGGATGGCCCTGTGTTCGTCAAGATGAAGACAAACAAGCGCATCATTAGTGATGATGATGACGACGACGACATGGCCGACGTTCCTTGTCCGAAACAGACGGCGAGTCCAGCCAGTACCAGGAATCGCAACGTAAAGCGCAAGTTGAATGCGTCTCCAACTCCGAGTAAAGAGCCGAAGCAGGTGCAAGCGAACGAAGAGCGTCGAGTACACAAGAGTAGTGAACAGCACGCGAAATCGGACGATGAAGCGGACGGTAACTCAGTGGAGGAGCCTGTTGTTGCCACGAAGCGGCGAGTTCTCGTCTCGAAGACTCGCATCAACGAACAAGGCTACATGGTAACGGAGAGTACGTACGACGAGGTGGAGCTGACGCCCAAGGAGATTGAACAGGAGCAGCGACTAGCCAGGAAGAAAGCGGAGGAAAAAAAGAAGAAGAAGAAGGCTGAGGCTGAGGCTGACAAGGCCACGCAAGAGGCGAAGAAGCGTGGCGGTCCACCCAAACAGCGAGACCTGCGTTCTTTCTTCTCAACAAAATGACCGTCGCACTGAGAACGTGTAAAGGGAATGCAAGTAGCTGCAATAGTAAAAGGGTCTTTTCCATCGTTGTAGGTCACACGGCTCTGGCAGCTGCAGACACCTGCAAAAAGTGCATCCCGCCCCCGCGCTTGTCCTTGTCTACTGCTCCATGCTTTCGTCTTCCTCCTCTCCGTCGCCCATTTCGTGAAACATGAACTCACGCTGGTACTCCATTAGGAACTGTGTGGAGCGCTTGACGTCAGCAAAGAGCGAGTAGACGCGCTTGATATCGGGCACATCCACCTCGGTGCCCTTGCGCTTGGAGCATACGAGCGACGCAGTGATGATCGTGTGAATGGCATATCGCAACGACGTTTCCACGGCAATGCGCGTGAGCAGATCCTTGGCCTCTTCCGACATTTCCACATCTTCTTCTTCGCAACGGATCGTGAGGATCTTGCGCATTTCAGACTCGCTGTAGGGTTTTGTGGGAATGATCATGAGTCGATCGAGCAAGTCGATCGGGATGCCGTGCGGACTCTTGTAGTTAGTTCCGCGAATACGCGTGATACCCCGGTTGGTAGCGATAATCAGCACTGGGGCCATGTGGCTCTCGAGAGCGCGGTTGAGCCACGAGAAGCACTCGATATCGAGCATGTGCACTTCGTCGATAAAGAGCACTCCAGGCACAATAGTAGCCTTGCCTTCTTCACGCCACTCTGCCACCTTCGTGTCAATCTGCTCGCGGACTTCGTCCTTAATTTCACCCGTATCGCCCGCAAACAATGCAAGAAACCCTTGCGAGCGTGAGTTAATCACGTCGATTTCATGGAGCGAGACCACGTGCACCACCTCCTTCCGCTTCTGCAGTTCACCCTCAGGACATTGCACGAAGCGTGTCTGAGCGCCCATGGCGTCATAATCGCGAGAGCGCGAGAACGATCGTCCAAGCTTACTAATCTTGCCCGATTCTTTGTTGATCGTGACAATATCACCTGCTTCAACCTTCTCCTTCGTCAGCGAGTCAATCATCTTGGCGCCAAGGTCGTACACGGTCTCCATTTCAGTAGTCCGTAGCGTCAAACGACCCACTTTATCCCCCATGCCTCCAGTCGGCGTATCGACCTGGATCTCCACTACTTCTCCTTCAATAATCTCCGTCTCTTCCATAATCCGCACCCCAATAGAGCGACGGAACGCTTGAGTCAAAGCCTCTGTCTTGCTCATTTCGAGCGAAAAGACTTCACTGCCAGCAATCGTTGTAAACGGCGTATCCTCACCCAACGCCTGAGCAATAGCCATGGCAATAGCCGTTTTGCCCGTGCCAGGTTTGCCAGCCAAAAGGATGGCACGGCCAGCAATATTGCCTTCTTCAATCATCTTGGCGACGATCCCAGCAGCTCGACGGGCTTCGGTCTGGCCCACCATTCCCTGTGACGACATTCGGGGCTCTAGACTGTCATCCAGTCCCAGTCCGCGAATATGAGAGTGAGCGCCGATACGCTCAATGCGTGTAATGTCCTTGACTTCCACTTGCGTCTTGACGGTGCCTGACTGGGAGCGTTCATGGGTACACAAGTTGGTGAGTTTTCAATCAAAGAGCGATCAGATGTTGACATTGACGCATGTAGTTGAGCACGTACCATGACGACGAGTGGTCAGAGCACGAGCAGGAGAGTGATAGAGGAGCTTGGGACGACGTTATAGTGAGGCAGTACCCAGCACCAAGCGATGTGGATCGCGGCTAAGTACGATATGGTCCGGTGTCGTATACAACGTATACTTCGTGTAAATACATTCATGCTTTTACGGACAGATCGAGATTTAACCTCTGCCAATCGAAGGCATGCGCTCCTCTCGCAAATCAGTTATGATTAGCTGTTATGTAAATCGAGTTAGACAGGTACGTACCTCGTTGCGTCGACATTTGCTGCTACAATAAGAATCTCATACGCCGATAGGCAAACACGTTCTGGTAGCATTGATTAAAGCAAAGTGTCAGGAGCGAACTGTCCTTCCATTTTTGCCAATTTGGGCTCGTGTCTACGCGTCTATTTTTTGGGAACTAAGAGCCCTTAAATCAAGCACGGATCTATGTGCCCGTATTTGTGATATATTCGCTCGACGGCGCGATGATGATCATGTCCATTACTGCATCAATAATTCCAGTCTTGCGGCTTGACCTGTAAGACTTTTGCCTAAACGTGCCGCAAATGTTAGTATTGAGACTTGCGGTGCAAGCCATGAAGACAAGTGAATGCACACAGAGAGCCTTGTATGTCAACCTGAACTCACAGATCAGGACGTCGTCAACACACAAGCTCGATATGATGTTTACATCAGCGCTGTTTGTCATCGTTTAGTGGAGCCTAGGCGACGAAGCCTTGCTTCGAGTATCTTTTCTTATATTCCACTCATCGGATGAGCATCTTTTTGATTTCGAATGCTGTAGTGAGTCTTGTCGGAATGGAAACTATGGTGAGATAGCGATCGCTTCATCTCCATCGTGAGGGCATATGTTAAACAGATTCGCCATGAGTGCAAGTGTACGTGCACATTTTTCAATATCGCGTCTGAACTTGCTGTAGCAATCAGTTTGCTGGTTGAGTGCAAGTACGCCAAAATTGCGTTACCGTCAGTAGAATTACACACAGCAGACTTATCCCAGCGCAAGCGCTACAGCGGAAAAGTGCTGATGCACCAGCAGCGGACGGAGAAGATCATCTTGTATCAAAAATCTTTGCATACAGCATTACCCGGACGCACATATCACAAAGAGATGTTTACACGATTACACGACGGCGCTGTCACATAGTCCTGCGAAAAGCGCACTCGATGGAATACAAGAAAGCACGCCACGCGTCTCAGTTACCGCCAACAAGCCTTAGCAGCTGTCTCCTTTCGTCAGGTAATGAAGTTGACTTGCATCTGTTTACGACTGAATATGAACCGCCTGGTAATCGAACTACATCGATATAACCGTTTACATATGGTAGCAGCGCTGACAAAACAAGGCCCCAAGCTTCAAATCACTCGATACAGCTTCTTCACAAGGTATGGTACAAGGGTGCTTATAACATGCAGCATAATTTGATATACAATCCGGTGATAAATAAATGTAATGATTGGCCTCATATGCGAAGTCGTATTTGGCAGACTTACATCTAACTCCAAAACTAGTCCGAAATTAGGCAGCATAAAAGCGAAAAGATAAGCTACATGAACTGTAACGGGGCACACCCTTGCGTGAACTTAACGCAAGGGTATCGGTGCCCCGACAGACGTACACAAGGCAAGCGAGGAAGCGTAGGTAGGGTAAAAGCAGAACTGTTATATTAATAGAATTAAGTCTTTTAACTACTGTCTCTCTGTTTGACTTAACTTAATTATGCTAATCTAACTGAGTGTATGGTGACGTCTCGTCACCACTCATTGCGCGCGTCTTGCGGCGATTGGTGGGTTGATATCATCAAGATATCAACCAATGAACAGACTCTTTGGTCGACCCTTCAATATCACCACTTTGGTATTGTTGTTTAGAGAATATCCAACTTCATATTCTTTATTGTGATTGTTTCTTTATAGTGACAATTTCCATGTAACGGGCTGCCCCGTTACATAAACGGCTGCTCTCCGAGCGATTGCAGGTGTCCGATTCGCGCCATGTAACTGAGCGGTATATCCACGATACACAATGCGTGGTGGCTCATGTTGTGTGGCAGTGAGAGTACGGTTAAGTCTTTCAGTAAATGACTGCTTGGCTTGCAGTCAGTCGTGAAGAATAACGATCTATAGCTTGTAGATATAGCGATATTACTTTGTACTTATTCTGGTAAGGCGAGAATTAGGTTCATGATTGCGACCAAACTTCTCTATTGCTTACAGAGTAAACAAAATGTCGCCACAGTCTTGTCTAGGATGCGGGTGCTGCTGAAATATGTCGAGCAAGCAACGAGTTACGATTCGTGACCATCTCACGAAATCGCGTCGCCATACTTGTACATTGAGCCTTATTAGGCTCAATTTTTGTAATCTACCGAGAAGTAGCGCGCGTTGAGAATCGTGTTATATCAGTACGCATGTTATGGTGTGGGACTTCTCATGGCATCGACATTAGTTGTACCAATGAGCCTATCGTCTCAGCGGGGAAGTTCGGGGAATGCAACTCCAAATTTCTTATTTACCGATATCTTTAATTTGCATATTCAGGCCATTATATCTACCACCAAGTCGTACAATAAATGCTGGACGCGCCGACTTACGGAAGGTTTACTCCAGTTCGTGTGCTCTTGTCGAATCTCATGCTACACTAGTGTACCCGTAGGTCGCGCTGGTCTAAGGGCTTCGTAAAGTCCTTGTGAGATGATAATATTGCTTATAGTTTAGGATAAAAGGGATATTGATGAATGTACCAACATTACCGTACATCGATCTAGGTGTGGACTGGTCTCTTGACCCAAGCAACCAGACGATATTGGTCTAAGATTTCTTACTCTTCCTTGTGACTACTATATGTGATCACAGATAATTAATTCCACTTGGTCTCGTATGATAACCCACATAAGATACATTGTACTAGTCAGATCGGTGTTAGCCAGACCGTTCCATCGATATTGACTGTCCAGTCCTATACGTAGCTTGATGCGTCCACTCGCAGTCGATCTAGTCTTGATGCATCTTCGTCCCACACCTAACAAGCAATCCAGGTGTTACTTGGATGAAGTCGCGGTAGAAGATTTAGTCCAAGGATCCCGCCCCGTAGAAAAGTCGATCACGTCTAAACTAGTACAATCTACAACAATAAATTAAAAAATGAAAATACAACTATCCCTATTACCATGCAAATTAACCTTGCGATTATAAGTAAAGATAGTACTAATATCTGCAAAAGTGCTTCTTGATCACAGGGCGAAGCCGTGGTCTGTAATTTTATTTGCTGATAACCAGTATACTAAGATTATGTACAGAAATATACTGACAAGGTAAGCATATCCATATCAAGTTTACGGTGTCAATATGATACATTATTGCAGGCGCATATTGCCTGAACCTCTTAGTGTCATATTGTATTGTTTTTGTTCTTTTCCATGACAGTTTCGTCTGTAGTCATGCCTAGATTACATCTTGATAAATCATGGGATCTACCTTTAATGTTAATTCGATATGTATGGGTAATTTTAGACCTGCTATATGGATACAACATGGCAGATGTAACTATCTTGTGCATTAAACAGGAAATAATCCATACATCGTATGTATAATCATCCTTGATGTTATCTACTCAATTCCTAGCATTTGCTCGGAAACCCCAGATCGAGATCCACTTAGCTAATTTTAGCTACGAGAAATTGCGATCGTGACACAATTCATCTTATAGCTTGAAGCTGCGCTGTGTCTGCGACGGTGCTTCGTGGGATATTGGGACATATTTATTAATATCGCAGATAAAACCCGGTCTAATCTCAATTGTGATAAATTAATGTGGTATCGACGATCCTGCATGTACTCATTCCTGTGTGATTTATATCGGTATGTACTACTGTCACGTGCCGTATTCCGCTATCAATCGAATTCTGGTGGAGTGTCCTATCAAATGACACATCTCTTCTCTTAATGATTATTCCCTTTAATTACTTCTGCTATTGTCGGCCAGTACACGATCCCAGAAGGGGAGGATGCATCCCTGCACCATTTTACCGTCATATGATCGATCAATTATCTCGGAATTATGAACACTCTATAGACCTGAAAGTGGTCCAGGTCTATTTGTAGTGTGACTCACTCCTCCTAATTTAATAACAAGATTATACCAAACTCAACTTATTCAAGAGATACCAAATGGAAATGGGTGGGAATATTGAGTTGAGCCGTCGGTGTTCCATCCTTCATCGCTATGTCTCATTTATTTAAGGATAATATAAGCGTGCCCGGATCGATCAAGATTAGAAAGCATGTTTTTAACGCAACCGAATGGCAGATGGTTGTTAATTCACCTGCGAAATTTACAACAACCAATTTTGTTGTGAATGCAGGGTACTCGATAGTATCAACTAGTGCTCCTACAGCAATATCATACTGCGGTTGGCGAGATGGCGAATAAAAAGCAACCGAAAAGACGAATATTAGGCTTATAACAAGTCCATGGCCGTCGAGGAGATTTCTTGCAAAGATGGTTCGTCGAAAATGACCACGCCATTAAAATGACCCTTTATAGGTGAATCGAGGAGTTTGGATCTTTCACTTTGGGTGGACGAGCCAAATTTCGACTAAGGAGCACAGGCTTTACGTCCCAGGCGTATTTGGGATAAACAATTGCATAAAGGATCAAATGGCTTAAACATTTATGCCACCAAGTCCCTAAGTCAGGGCTAAAGACGGGATTCTGGACTAGAGATATGGTAAGCGTTATGTGTTTATATACGCCCAGTAATCACATCGACTTGATAGCTTCACTTAGTTAAAGCCCGTTGATGATCTATCGCAGATCGTGTGTTTATCAAGGGTCTTGCGTTTCTTTGCTTGGAGATCACCTGCCCCTAGGTCTAAAGACACTTGACCGAGATACATCCGTGGCGGGAAATAAATTCGATAACTCGACGCAAGCTCAAGTGTACCCGGAAAGCTAACGTCTACTGAACGATAGGAA